AACAATTATAATAAAAACAACATCAAATCTTCTTATTGATTGTAATCTTCTTTTCATCACACTGGGTCGTTCCAGACTTCACCAAATATGGCCATCTAATACGTAGGTCCTCTTCATTGGACTCCTAGGCAATGTTGATACCAACCAACGCTAAACACAGTGAGTTAACTTTTACTGTTTGAGATCAGTGTTATTTACTCTGCCTCCAATAACATGCAGAGTTTGTCGTATGGCCGTTCCAAGACATTATGGTTAGTCTTGACCATCACTCGCCGCACCACTCCCTTATGGTCAGGCATTACTTCAACAATTCTGGCCATAGGCCACACACATCTTGGAGTGTTCATATCTTTGATTAGCACCACATCCCCTACCTTCAAGTTCGGATGGGTTTTCAGCCACTTCTGTCATTCTTGTAGGGAAGGCAAATACTCCCTTACCCAGCGATGCCAAAACAAGTCTGACATGTATTGGATTTACCGCCATCTACGTCTAGCATACATATCATGCTTTCCAGTCAGGTAAGGAGCTAAAGCCGTGGACTTCATTGTGAACAGCATGTTAGGTGTTAACGCCTCCAAATCTCCAGCATCTTCAGAAGGCTTTGTGATTGGTCTACTGTTTATTATCTGCTCAACTTCACAGAAGAATGTCTGCAGACCATCGTCATCTAATTGTTGCTGTTTTGTAATTGCTTGCAGGATTTGTCTGATTGTGCGAATCTGTCTCTCCCAAACCCCACCAAAGTGAGAACCGGAGGGAGGATTGAATCTCCAGTCTATTCCCTTCTGTAGTAAGAACCCATTAATTTTCGACTGGTTCCAATTCTGCAATTCTTCTTTCAGCTCTCGTTGTGCTCCCACAAAGTTGCTACCATTATCTGACCTAATTAGTTTCACAGCACCTCGCCTTGCAATAAATCTTCGTAATGCATTGATGAATGAATCAGTGCTCAACGATTCTGCTTTCTCTATATGTACTGCCCTCACAGGTAAAAACAGCTCCATATCTTTTCACGATACCATGTTTCTGTTTCACTTCAATTGGCCCAAAGTAGTCCAAACCTACACGGGTGAATGGTGGGTCATTCGTCTCCAGTCTGTCTGATGGCAAGTCAGCCATTTTTTGTTCACCAGTTCTTGCTCTGTACCGTCTACATGTCACACAATTATGAATCAACTTTCTTGTTGCTGAATTGGCATTTGGAATCCAATATTTCTCTCTCAACTTGGACAATATATATCCTCTTCCGAAGTGTCCACCTGATTCATGAATTTCACGAAGTATAAGCATTGACACATGTACTCCCTTCGGCAGAATTAGTTGATGCTTTGATTCTTTTACCATCTTCGCTTGACAGAGTCTTCCCCCGACCCGCAACAAACCATCCTCTCCAAACACTGGATCTAGCTTGTATATATGGCTACTTCGCTTTACCATTTTCTTTGCACTTCTCACACTATGTATTTCTTCACCAAATGCTTCTTGTTGAACACACTAAATTATCGCATGTTCAGCTTCTTGAAGATCTTGAACAGTGATACCCGCCGAGAAGTTATCTTGCTCGTTCCTGCAACGTTTCAACAACGCCTTCTTTATCTTCAAGATCCATGATACTGCTCGCTTTAGTTTGTACCAACTTGAATACCGCTTAAACAACTCATTAATTAGCTTCTCTGAGTCATTGGTAGATACTGCATTCGCAATCACATGTTTTTTGACCTCCGGATCTCCATCTTTCAGTTGCATATCGCAAGATCTAACAGGCCACTGGTCTTGTGTTTCCCAAAGGAATTCAGGTCCGGTAATCCATCTCTGGCTTTTCAGAAACACCTGAATTGACTGCCCCCCTGGAACCATCATCTGCTGGATTATGACTAGTGTTGACATAGGACCATTGGTCTGGATTGGATGCTTCATGAATCACAGCTACTCTATTGGCTATGAAGGTATGGAACCTTGCAGTCTCATTCTTGATATACCTCAACACAGTCATGCTATCAGTCCAATAGTGTG